GCAGCCTAGGCTAGACCAGGTTAAATGAAGGAGCCTTTACTTCAATCCAGGTCTCTTATATGGGTGGCAGGAAGCCGTATCATCTGCTGCCTCCCAGGGTGCACAGCTACAGAACGCTGGAATAATCGGCAGAGCCAACACATGATGCAAGAGTGCCAAGCAGCATCTGAACTGCTTCACCAAATATCATTTCTCTATCCTAAGTTTTCCTTCTATTAAATGATAGTGTTCCAACCACAACACTTACAAACAATGCAACAGATTTTTTTCTGGATCAAAAGAAAGAAGGACGGAGAAATAAAAGCATCTGTATAAGAATCTGGGGGTGGGGACGGGTAGAACCTAGCCTGGAGGCTACTCCCTCCCCAGCAAGCACCTGAATCCTGTAAGGCCACCAGTTTGTGTCCCAGCTACTCCACTTCCCATCCGGATTCCCACTTGTGGCCTGGGAAAGCAGTGGAGGATTACCCAATTCTTTGGGATCCTGCAACCATATGGGAGACATGAAAGAAGCTCCAACCTCCTGGCTTCAGCTCAGTTCTAACCATTGTAGCCAATCAGAGAGTGACTACTAGGGGGAAGATCTTTCTGTCTCTGTTTCTCTCTGCAATCCGCCTTTTCAATAAAAATAAAGAAGTCTTTAAAAAAAAAAAAACAATATGGGAATCAATGTCCAGTGCCTTGGCATAGTAGGCTAAAGCTTCCACCTTCAGTGCGTGCATCCCAAACGGGTGCTGCTTCACCTCCCGGCTGCTCTACTTCCCATCCAGCTCCCTGCTTATGCCCTGGGAAAGCAGCAGAGGATAGTCTAAGTCCTCAGGCCACTGAACCCATGTGGGAGACCCTGAAGAGATGTTTTCTCTTAGTTCTGGAACAGCTCAGCTCAGGAGTGAATCAGCTGATGGAAGATCTTTCTGTCTCTCCTTCTCTCTGTAAATCTGCTTTTCCCAACTAGGTAGGTAGGTAGATAAATAGATTAAATCTATTTAGTTTTTCAACAATAAAAATTCACATACAGTAACAATACAGATTACCTGTTTTCTATCTTACCCCACTTCAAAATACAGATCTTTACTTTTGGAAAAAGAAAATAAGTATTGTCTATTTCCCAAAAGCTCTCCCCAAGTCCTTCACACAGAAATGTAACGAATACAAAAACCAAAAATATTAGTATAGCATAACATTCAAAGAATCCTTTAATAGTATTCCTCCCACTTACGAGTCTTTCCTAATCCATTAAAGTTATTACCAACAGATAATAGTTTCTCACAGTACATTCAATACTAAAAGAATCTTCCTACATAAGGTTACATGTCACAAAATTCTGTATCTGCAACCGTATAAAATCATCACATCTTACTGGTTCTTTAAAGTACCCGGATTCTAACAAAAGTTCAAAAATCAAGAATCTGGGAGTGGGCATTTGTCACAGCAGTCAAGACACTGGTGGAAACACTTATATCCCATGTCAAATTTGACATGGCTTGAGTTTCTCATCTATCACCCCGTACATGCACATTTTAGGAAGCAGCAGATAATGGCTTCAGTCATGGGGTCTCTGCCGCCCACATGAGAAACCTAGAGTTTGGGGCTCCAGGCTGCAGCCTTGCCCAGCAAATGTTGATGAACTCTCTTTGCCCATCTCCTCATCCCATTCTCTCTACCTCTAATTTAAAAAAAAAAAATTTTTTTTCAGAAGTTAAGAATTTTATTGTTACAAGAATTGGTGAAATAATTTGAAAATGAAAAAATAACAACATTGAAACGAAAAAAAAAATTGAAAATGAAAAAAAACCAACACTGGCAATGATCTAACCACTTTGCAGGTATCAATGATACTTTTATTCCATTTACAGATGAAGAAACCAAAGGCACCCAGATACTATGTAATTTGTTCAGATACACTGTTAGTGAGACAGTAGGCACCCCCTCTGTCCACTGACCATGTTTTTTTTTTTAAGTATTAAAAAATTATTAATCTTTTTGAAAGGCAGAGGGAGGGAGGGAGAGGAAGGAAAAGATAGAGAAGGGAGACAAGGAGAGACTATCTTCCATTTGCTACTTCACAACAGTAAGGGCCTTCTCGGGCTGCAGGCCAAAGCCAAGAGCCAGGAACCCACATGGAGCCTCCCACAGGAACAAGGGAGGCAGGGGAATCCAAGTACTTGGTTGATCATCTGCAGCCTCTCAGAGGCACATCAGAAGGAAACTGAACAAGTGCCGAGTAGCAGGGATTTAACTCAGGAACTCTAACTTAACTGCTGGACCACAACAACACCTGTTCCAGGATCCATGCTCCTAACCTCCTCTGCATCACCTAGGACAGGCTCCTACTTGTCTAGCTGCACAGCTGACATGTAGGCACCAGATCCTAACAGGGATACAAACAAATTATCTCAAAATTAGGAAACTGACAAGTTTTTCACTTCTTTACAAATTAAGGTACCATATAAATATTTTAGCCTGAATGATTACAGTAGAGTTGACCACAAAAGCAAACAAATAACATTTATATTGAAGACATTCCATTTAAATAAACTTGAGGTGTTCGTAAACATTTTTTAAACTTACAATTTGAAAGAGAGAGTTACTGAGAGGAAGAGAAAGAAAGAAATTCTACCTACTGGCTCACCAAGGTTGGCCCAGAGAGAAACCAGGAACCAGAATCTTCTTCCAGGTCTCCCCACATGGGATGCAGAGTGCAGTGGACTTGGGCCATCTGCTTTTCCAGGCACATCAGCAGGCAGCTGGATAGGAAGTGGAGCAGCAAGGTGTGCTGGTGTGCACATGGAATGCTGGCCTCAAAGCTTTGCCACAATGCAGGCCCCAATTTGAGACATTAATATAATATATATTCAAATTTAAACATGAAAATGTCACTTTTTCAAATATTAAGCACAAATGCTTCAAATAATCGACCTTGGAAACAAAGTTGAGAATAGACTAATGAACTTAACCAACACTCTGGACAATCAAAAAAAGAAAAAAAGAGCTATCACAAGGGTTAAAGAACTAGTATTCATTTATTTATCTCAAAAAAAAGAGGCTTCACGTACTATTTTCCTGCAGAGCTGCAGAGTAACAATCCTGTTCTTAAAAAAAAAAAAAAAAGTCCTTTGTTTTTATTGGAAAGGCAGCTCAGACTTACAGAGAAGGAAGACAGAGGGAATCTTCCACCTGCTGGTTCACTTCCCAAATGACCCAAGCAGATAGAGCTGGGCGGATCCAAAGCCAGGAGCTTCTTCTGGGTGCAGGTTCCCGGGGCTCTGGGCCATACTCTACATAAGCAGGGACTTCGATCAGAACTGGAGCAGCTGGGACGCTAACCGATGCCCACTTGGGATCCAGATGCTTGGAAAGTGAGGAGTTAGCCATTGGACCATCATCACACCAGGTCCCAAAACAGCAATTTTGAGTATTTCCATACTTCCAGAAAAATAAGAGACAGTGTGATGGGCACTAACCATTTGCAAGCTAATCAAATACCAAGCAGGTGGAGTGGCAGGGAATACTTAAAGTAACTTTTAAAGGCAAAGGAATATGCTATTTAACATTTAGACTGACAGTCCTATATAAGATTCAACAGACTTCCAGGTCATTACAGTGGACACTGATTGCAACCTGAAGTCATCAAAAGCAGCTTTTAGATTCCCCATCCCTATTTAGGACAGAAAGGAACTGGAAACCTAATCTTGGTATGATTTTTTTACCCAAAGATCTTGAAGTGGTTTTACAATTTGATGCCTAAAGTACTAAGACCATAATTATCCTGTAAACTAATCAATTAAAAGGAATTCATTTAAAAGTTTCAAACAGCAAACATTTTATTTCACTCTTTGTGTTCAAGAACACCTCCTGTATAAAAGGTAGCTAAGGTAGCTGCAAGCCAGGAGGAGGAGGGCAGCACACAAAATTAGCAAGTCACAGACAACAGAGCAGCCAGGCAAGTGTCTATAATCAGCGTGCTCAAAGCATCCCCCACAAAACAAAGTGTGGGCAGAGGATGCCACATCAGCAGTACTCACTTTGTCCTGCCACTAAATCAGCTGTTGGTTTCATGAATTATTAATTCCAGTAATGGTTTGTTGACAGCAAGCCGCAACAACTCTGAAGTGCAAAAAGTGATAGCGTCCTCCTGATTTATTCTACAAGACCAAACCTGAGTCTACTGTCACTGACCACGTTGTCTTATGGTGGCACCGATTTGATTTCTTTAAAAAAAAAAAAAAAACAAACAGCTATTCCCTTTTACATTCATTTTAATTTTGAAGATTGAGTGCGTGCCAAGTCCACACCGAACTTTCTTATCAAAATTGTTGCCACTTAACAAAACTCCTTTTCAAACCAAGCTGCAAAGCATTCTGTCTAACAAAACTGCAGCACACAGAAGAAAGGAAAAAAAAAAAAAGCCAAACATATAAGGCCTTGCTTGTACTTTTCTCCAACAAGGAAGTCTAACTCCAAACAGGAAACTGCTCCTCAGAGGGTTCAGCACTGAAATCCTATCACACCCCAACCCAGTCCTCAGGAGCAGCTCCGATGTTTGGGAGGTAACACACTTGCCTGGGTAGAACCAAAGTGCAACACTCAAACTTCCAACCTGAGGCACCCCCAAGTCACAGAGGAGGGGGTTTGGGGAGCAAGTGGGAACTCCTTTCCTGACCCCCCCAAAAAAAGGAAAGATGTATTTACAAGCGTTCTATATAAAATCCTTACAAGCCCAACCGATACAAAGCCTCACACAAGACAAAAAGGAAAATGTGCGAGCCTGTCAAGTTTGTCGGCTCACCCTCCCCCAGCCGCGGCGCAGGGAGGAGGGAAGGAAGGAGCTGCGGGGAGGCGGGCGAGGCGCGGGGGTCGGCGCCCCCTGCCCCCACGCCTGCACCCTTTCCGGTCGGCGCCGGGACGCGAGCCCAAGGTGGAAGGTAGGGCGGAGCGGGGCGGACCCCCCTGCCACGGCCTCCGGGGGGCTGGGGAGCGCGTGCGGCGGCGGCTCTTACCCATGCTGGGGGCTCCGGCGGGGAGAAGCCCGGCGCCCGCGGCCGCTCCTCCTCCGGTCGCTGGCGCGGCCGCTCCCGCGGCAGGCGGCGGGCCCCGCTCGTCCCGCTCCGGGGCTCAGGCGGGGAGCGCGGGCGTCTCCATCCGCCCGCAGCACTCTCGGCCAGTTCCCCCCTCAGCGCGGCCCGTGAGGCGCCGGCCGCCGCTTCTCCTCACGCCCCGGCCTCCGCCGAAGCCGCGGCGGCAGCAGGGCCTGTCCCGGACGCTGGGTTTTCCCACCGCTGGTGTGTGTCTGCCCGCAGGGGAGGCGAGGCGAGCCGGTGGGTCCCGCCGGGTCCGCGCTGGCCTGCGGCCCCGAGCGCCCGCCCCGCGTCGGTACCCGCCCCTCGGCGCTCCCTCGGCCGCGGCCCCGACGACGGGCGACGCCGGACTGAGGTGGGAATCGGGACCGGGGCCGGGAAGGTGCGGGGAGCTGGGCCCCGGAGGAGGCAAGTCTCGCGAGAGCCGGCCTGCTTGCCCGTGCCTGCCCCGCCCCCGCCGCCTTGGCGCTCGCCCCCTCGGTCCCGGCGGGTGCCAGGTGCGCTGACGTCACGGCCGGGGGTCGCGGCGGGCGCCTGCAGGTGCGCGGGCGGAGGAGGAGGAGGAGGAAGGCGTCGGGGGCCGGGGCGCTGCGGCCGCAGGGCTCGTGGGGGCAGCTGGGTCGGGCGCTTTAGTTGGATCTGCCGCCTCGGAGGGATGCAAAAGTGCTTTTGCAGATAGGCGGCGAGCTTGGCTTGCCCCTCTTTCCGCAGCAGCAGCAGTGCGGTGCCTTTTTCTGAAACAAGCCACCCCTTTGCAGGATCTAAAAGAGAAGAGGAAGCGACGGGGAGAAGGAGTGTGCTTGGTTTCCACTTGGTAGCTTCTTACTGATAAGAGGCGTTTGTGCCTCGGGAAAGAAAGGCTAGGGAAAAAAATGTACTATAGGAATGAATTACTGGGTTCTTAGAGTCTCTCCCTACCTAATGACAACTTTCTGCATCCCTTTTTTGCCTGCAAAGTAATTTACTTTGTTACCTGATTTGGGGCCGGGCCGAGTGGGGAGGTCCAGGAGATGCTGGCCTGGTTTCAAATACTGGCAGACATGTTTTTAATAGCGACACTGTGAAAGAGGATGTAGGGTTATTTTAATCCAATACGAGCCTTTCTTGAGTTGGGGACCAGTGTAACTACTTCATCCAGCCTTATTCCCCCTCCTGCTTTGAGTAGACTCTGTTCCTGTACAGATACGTTGGAGAACAGTGTTCAGTAGTAACTGTTGTGCCTAAAGTTTTTGCCAGAAATTCCATCTTTAACACTTGCAACCATCCATCAGTAAAACCGTCCTTTGGAACCAGGCAGCCCTGAGTTTCTAAACTCAGCATAGTCATTTACTTTTTCTGGGACTTGGGATAAATTAAGAAACCTGTCTGGACTCCTGGTCCTTGAGTCTGTTGAAGGAAATCAGAGTGCAGAGCAGTGCTGGGCACACAGCAGCAGCCATTCCCATCTCTCCTGGAAGCCTGACTTTGCTGTCTGGTCCTCTATTACTTCTGAGAAGGTTACATGTGGCAATTTTATAATAAACATTGTCAAATTCAAGGGTAGGAGCCCTAAACAAGTGCTGGGCCGTATTTTCTTAACCAGATGTCACGACACCTGACCAGATGTGATAAAACATCTTAGAAGTTCCAGGATCTCTGATCTCTCCAAAATAAACAATGTTTTAAAGAGCTATAAAAAAATAAGCATATTTCCTTTGCACATGTTCAGGGTATTATTCCATTGCAGTAATGTACAGACTTCAGATCCTGAGAGTTAGAAGAGAATAGAAACATGGAGAAAATCGAAATGAAGTTATGTAATTGAGGCTGTCACTGGGGCATTGCAAGTTAAGCTACTGCCTGTGTTGTCAGCATTCCATGTGAGCGCCAGTTGAGTCCAGTTGCTCAGTTCCGATCCAACTATCTGCTTATGTCCTGGGAAAGCAGCAGAGGATGAATCAGATAACTTGGGGGCCATAGGCTACGTGAGAGACCAAAAACAAGCTCCTGGCTCCTGCCTCAGCTTACCCCTAGCCATTGAGGCCATCTAGGGCCTGAGTCAGTGACTGGAAGATTTCTGGGTGTGTGTGTTTCTATGTAACTCTGCTTTTCAAATAAATAAATACATTTTTTTAAAGTAATTGAAATCCCAAACTTGATGCTGTCTTCCAGAAACAAAGAAAGTTGGGAAAAAATTAAATCTAAAAATATATTTAGTATGTAAGATACATGCTATGTAACTGTTAGTTACTTATTTTCCCATGGAACATTCTCATCTTGCTAGTCCACCCTAGCCAGCTTTAAGAGGCTTTTGATGGATGGCACCATGCTTTCTATTTGGTATGGTCAGTACTAGACTTGGGTTAGAAAACAACCTCATCTACCATATCTATTCATTTTAACCTCAAGTTTCTTTTAGCTAAAAACAGATTAGACTTCACTTTTTATCTTTACTTCCTTCACTGCTTTTTTGATATTGAATTAGGTTTGATTTCATCTATCTGTCCTCATGTTTCTTTGTATTCCAGAACAAATGGACTTACAGGACATTTGTTACTTTTCCTCCTGTTAAGCACTGAACATGCTGGTCTTACATCAGCGAGAATATATCTGAAAATGCAACAGTTTCAAACTAACCTAATTCATGCTAAACTCACTATTTCTCAGTCTTTTTAGGCATGTATCAGAAGTTACCTAGATTGAAAAGATCATCTGTCTCCCCTTATTTTCTTGTTGTAAAACTGTTTTAATCGAGATGGATTATGCTGAAGCAAAATAAGTATTAACTAAGCTGTGTTATTTTTAAACAAACGTTGCCAACAACTAATTCTTTTCTGTTTCTTTATTCTTAGTTCCAAGGCACAATGCTTCCTGGGCAGGTTTCTTATTGTTATCTTGTTTTGACTGGGCTAATTTATTGTATACTTAAGTACAAATTACATCAATGTAAAACCCAAATTTTAAAAATCTTTCTTTAGAAAACAATTGCAGGAAATAATAGCCTCAATATAACAATGCCTATATCCTGAGTTCACCGAAGCCGTAAAAATCCCCCAGCTGCAACTCTGACCCGTCAGCCTGCCACGAAATTTTGTTACTACACTAGCAATTCAGGGGATGTGCTCAGATATGACTACTCCAGTAAGCACTTTTCATGACTGCACTTTAACCAAAGGCTTGAGCCCATCTAGATAAATCACCACTTTGCCAATGCAACGGACTTTTGATAGATGTTGTTTGCACTTTATGTAGGAAGCTAGTGTCAGCTATCCCCTTTTGAAGGGTCAGATGATTTAAGTAATCCAAAGTAACAAATATGTGTTTTTCAAGATGGTGAAGTTGTAGATGTATATAATACTGCATGCAAAGCTACTAGTCCTAAGCACCCATTCTACTCATCAAACATTTTGTTAGTCACCCCTTATAAATGAGCAGTTGTTGGGTCATGAATATAGAGATGAAGAATACAGTCTCTTCCCTTAGAATAGGGAATATTGGGAAGTTAGTTGGAAATAACGTTGTGGTTGCTCAGTAAAAACAAGGAAATGTGGTCAGAGAGCAAAGAAAACAGGCAGGCATATAGTCCAAACCCCAGATGCCTTTTGGGAGACCAGGCTCAGTGGATCAAAGCCAAATACTGAGGACCTTGTATATCATGAGAGGTCTTACTCAAAAATTATAGGCAATTAAGAAGGGTTTTAAGAAAGGAACTGATTTATTCTGTCAGCTGCCTCTATCGTCAGAAAAAAAATACACATGTATCTCAGAAAACTACATACGAACAAATTGGGTTCAGCTAACATTGGTTAATCTGTAAGCACCCTCTATTATCTAATATGATTTTTATTAATACACAAATGTTAAGCGCAGTAACATACACATGGTATCTCATATGCTGGGAAGTGTGAGAGATGCACTGCAGTGTACTTTGCCTTCAAGAAATGTGATTCTCGAACAAGAAGATTGATATCCTTGTTACAACCTACTCTTCCTTCAGAAAGTCACATAATTATAAACACACAGCTTTGCAACTAGACATGGCACCAGCCAATCAATTAGGTACATCCTCAGATTAGTAATGTGTTTATAGTGTTCTTATTTCAGCTTCTGCAAATTTTGAGCAGTAAACACAAGTTACCTGTTGCCAAAAAATCAGGTGACATTTGTTCATCTCACAGGTCACTCTACTGTAAGGTAGCCATTTTTGAAAACATTGTTATTAATCTTTTTTTGTGTTGGTCATGAGTGTATGTAAGCTTACAAAGTAGGTTTTATTGCTAATGGGAAGCCAAGGGAATAACCAAAAAAGATCTCAACAATAGTCCTTATCTCTTACTCATCTTGCCATTTCTTCATCTGGCCTAATGTGACACCAAAAACATTCAGCAAATTGTGAGATTTCTGTGTTTCTTTCCAGCTAGCCATAAATTCTTTCTGAAACAATAGTTAGAGACTTTATTTCAGATCCCTGGTTTGGTTTTTGTTTTTGTTTTTTCTTTTTCTTTTTTAGGATTTATTTATTTTGATGTAAAGGGACAGAGGGACGGAGAGAGAGACTGATATTCCATCCATGAACTCACTCCCCAAATGCTCATAAGCAGCTAAATCTAGGCCAGACCAAAGCAAGAAGCCAGAAACTCCATCCTGTCTCCCACTTGGGCAGCAGGCGCCCAAGTATTGGGCTATCTGTTGCTTTCCCACGCTTATTGGCAGAAAGCTATATTGGGAGTGGAACAACTAGGACTTGAACAAGCTCTCTGATATAACATGTTAGAGTGTTGCTAATTGAGGCCCTACTTGCTACACCACAATACCTGCCTGTGTTTTTCTTGTATTTGAATGCCAGAGATACAGAGAGATCATCTGCTGGTTTACTCCCTAAGTACCCACAGCAGCCATAGCTGCTCTAGGCCAAAACCAAGTGGCTGAACTTCCATGCTGGTCTCCATGTAGATAGCAGGGGCCTAAGTATTTGAGCCAACATCTACTGCTTTCCTAAAGTCAGTGCCAGAAAGCTGGATCAGAGCAGCCAGGATTCAAATCCACACTTCAAAATGGGCTGCCTGTGTTATAAGCAGTAGTTTAATGTGTTGCACCACAGTGCCACCCCGTAGATCTCAACTGCCCACCTGCTTCCTTAAATGCATAGGTGACAGTGAAGTTTATATCCCATCAGACACTGGAGCTTTTAACTCACCTTTTGCGTTCTTGTTTTGATGCCCCAAATTTGACACCTTCCAATGCAGAAGATGCTG